TTCAACACGCATATTACAACATTCATTTACATTTAAATTTCCTTTCTTAGTCTTCTTAGTAATTATAGGAAAGTGTAGTTCCTTATTTATCTTAGTAATTTCGATATCAACTATAAAAGCTTATATATAACGTTCATTTGTAGGTTCTAATCGTTGTTCTAACATTATGTGATTTAATATAGTTGAATTGAGTAAATTCTTTGGTATTAAAATAGGTTTTCCTGTTGCTAACTTTAATCTATGAATAGCACTGGGATATAGAGAACAAGCATCATAATCATATAATTCATCTCTTACATGCCATTTTTTATTGTCTCTAGTCATACATCTTCCTCCATATACTGTACCTTGAATGTATTCTCTAACTTTACCACTATATTGTTTAAGATCTTTAATTTTTGAGTAAACATGTGTTGTAAAATAGTTGTAAGCTAATGCAGAAATACTAATGAATTTATCTACATCTATATTTAAACTAGATAAGTTATCAATTCTAAATTGAGTATGTCCTTCTTTTAATATTCTTACATCTTGATTACAGTATAATTTACAATACAACATCATATTAAAATGATTTTCATCAATTTTACAACTTTCTATTTTATAAATATTTTCATTAAATAGTTTATATTCGGCTTCAGTCCATTTTTGTATCTCATATTCACCTGCTTCTGATATAGTTCCAATATTATTTTGAATACGTTCTTGAGTATAGTAGTTGTATGGATATAACTCTTTTTGAAGATTTCTTAACCCAAACATCTTTGGAAATTGATTTAATGCTGTACTTATCATAGAATAACTATCTTTAAATGTTATTTTCTTCTTATTATATATCAAATTTATCTTCATTGTTTTTCCATCCTTCTTAATACATTTGTTAATACCATATTCAGCAAGGAAGCAAGAATCATACTTCAAATTATGAAAGTATATTACAGAATTATTGTTAAGTTCATTTAAAAATTCTTCTACACATTTATTACCATATTTATTACATATTTGATTAGAATTACGTTTAGAATAAGACACACAATAAGCTTGATGAATTCTTTGTGTTGAAGCTTCAAAATCAGCATAATAATATGTTGGTAGTATTTTTTGTTTAAATTTCTTATTTTTTGACTCTAATTTAATATCTTTAACCTCATAATCTAAATACTCTAATGATTCTAAATTATTACTTACATAATCTGACAAATCAGATGGTAAATGAAGTACATCAGATAATGAATACGATTTAAATCCATTATGATCTCTAATGTATAATATTAGCTCAGAAAATTTTATAGTATCTTTAGCGCCTGGCTTAGTATAACAATTATTTCCTTTCTTACGTTGTTTATCAAACATATTATCAATACTTAAATTATTTTCTAAAGCATATTTATTAAGTTCTTCTCTGTTCTTAAGATAGAATGGAGTTATAGGTAAATCAATATCTAAGAAATAATGATCTCCTTTCATATTGGTGTCTCGATATAAGAATAAATTAATTTCGATAGCATCTTTACTGATTGATCCAATAGATTTCATAATAGTGTTAGCATGACATTTACGAACTAATTCTCCACTTTTTACTTGAATTCTTATATTACATGATTTAGAAACTTCATCTATCAACTTTATTTTCTGATATCTAGAAATACAGTGAACACGATATAAATCTATGATTTTATCATCAATTTTAGCTTGTTTCAAAGCATAAACTAGACAATTCATGTTTAATTCCGGTCTTACAAGCTTATTTACATTAAGAGAACTAAA